CCACAGCGCCACTTCCGGCTTTTTGCTTATGTGGTGCTGAGGAATTGAACCCAGGGCCTCATGCATGCAAGGCAAACACTCTACCACTGAGCCACCTTCCCAGCTCCAGTCCATGAGACTCTTAAACCACTAGAAAACCGGAAGTGGTGCTGTGGCTCAAGGGGTAGAGCGCTGGCCTTGAGCTGAAGAGTGCAGGGACAGCACCCAAGCCCAGAGTTCAAGTCCCACGATCGACCAAAAAAAAAAAAATCAGAAATTCAGTTGGGCATAATGGCATACACTTGTAATTCCAGCACTTAGGAGTCTGAGATGAGATATTTATAGGCTTGAGGGAAGCATGGAAAAGGGAGAAAGAAAAGAAAAGAAAGAAGAGAGAAAAAGAGAGAGGAAGAAGGAAAGAAGAAAGGAAGGAAGGAAAGAAGGAAGGAAGGCAGGCAAGCAAGACTCTGTACTTGAACAACCATCTCTGTTCTAAGATTTTTAGGAAATTTTCTGTTGTTATTTATGTTTCTATGCTTTTAGCTTATACCTCTTCTTTTCTGTATTGCATAGCTTTGGATTTTTTATTTATTTATTTTTGGTGCAAATCCTGGGGCTTGAACTCAGGGCCTGGATTCTGCTCTTGAGTTTCTTTCGTTCAAGGCTAGTGCTCCACCACTTGAGTCACAGCCCACTTCAGCTTTTCCTGAGAAGTTTAGTGGAGAGAAGAGATAAGACATTCCTGCTTGGGCTGATTTCAAATGTTGATCCTCAGAGTTCAGCCTCCGGAGAAGCTAGGATTTCAGGCCATAGTACCTGCCTTGCTCTGATTATTTTTGCGATAGGGCCTCACTTTTTTTTTTTCTGGGCTAGCTTGTATTATGATCCTTCTACATATTTTTCCCACCACAGTTGAGATGCTAAGTACATGCTACCATGCCCAACTTTTTCTGTTGAGATGCTCAGCCTAGCTTGAAACAATGGTCATCTTAATCAGCTGCCTACATAGCGGGGGATAACAGGCACACTCATTGTGTCTAGCTGTTGATTGAGATGGGAACTCATGAACTTTTTGCCTGGGCTTGCCTCAAACCATCATCATCCAAGCCGGGCGCTGGTGGCTCACACCTGTAATCCTATCTACTCAGGAGGCTGAGATCTGAGGATCGAGGTTCAAAGCCAGCCCGGGCAGGAGAGACCATGAGACTCCTATCTCCAATAAACTACCAGAAAACTGGAAGTGGCGCTGTAGCTCAAGTGGTAGAGCGCTCTCCTTGAGCTGAAGAGCTGAGGGACAGCGCCCAGGCCCAGAGTTCAAGCTCTACGACCGACAAAAAAAAAAAAAAACCATCATCATCCAATCTCAATATCTCAAGTATCTACAATTACAAATGTGAGCAACTTTGTGTTTGGTCTTTATATGTTTGGCTTTTATATGCTCAGCATATACTTATTCCCCCCCCCCACTTTGTTATTTTCTGAGTGTTCTAATTCATCTAACTTGTCTTTGAGCCTTGATATTCTCTTTTCTTTTTTCTCTTTCTTTCTTTCCTCCCTCCCTCCCTCCCTCCCTCCTTCCCTCCCTCCCTTCCTTCCTTCCTTTCTTTCTTTCCCTTTTCCTTTCCTTTTCTTTCCTGGTCTTGGGCTTTGAACTCAGGACCTGGGTACTGTCTCTGAGCCTCTTTGTGCTTTGAGTCACAGTACCACTCACGGTTTTTTTCTGAGTAGTTTATTGGAAATAGGTCTCATGGGCTTTCCTGCCCAGGCTGGCTTTGAATTTCAATCTTCAGATCTCAGCCTCCTAACTAGGATTAATTACAGCATGAAATATCAGGGCCCAGTGATATTCTGTTTGCTACTTGATTTATTGATGAGGCTGTCAACTGCGCTTTCTTATTTGATTTATTGAGCTTTTTGTTTTTGTTTTTGGATGGTTATGGGGCTTGAACTCAGGACCTGGGTGCTATCTCTGAACTTTTTTGCTCAAAATTAGTGCTCTACCACTTTGAGCCACAGCTCCATTTCTTGATTTTTCCGCTGGTTAGTTGGAGGTAAGTCAAAGACTTTCCTGCCTAGTCTGGCTTTGGAATTCAATTCTCAGATTTCAGCCTCCTGAGTAGCTAGGGTTACAGAAATGAGCCACTGGCACCCAGCTTTTTATTTCCAGGACTTTAATTTGATTTTTGTTAGGATGCCTATATTTTTTAATTGGATTCCTCTTTCATTTCCTACATTGTTTATTTTTATTCTCTTTGAATTAATTCAGGTGTTATGGGTGTCTTTAATTTCATTGATCATTTTCTTATTTATTTATTTTTAGTACTTTGGGATTTCATACTTTTCATTATCTTTCAAGTTTGTTATTGTAGAATTGCTAACTTTTAGATGAGTCATGTTGTCTATTTTTTTTCTGCTGATTCTGCATTGGGATATGCACACTTGAGCCCAAGCCAGCGATGAGGTTTTAATTACCTGTATTGCTTTAGTGAAAGTATCCTTAGTATTCAGGCAGGTCTAGGCACAGTGGCAAACTTGAGGTGTGCTAGCTCAACAGTCAAACATCTTCCCACCTACTCAGTGGACCGGACTCAATCCCCAGTACCACTCAGAAAGAAGAAAACTAGTTCAAGTCTCTTATAGTTACTGTTGGTCAGGTTGGGAATGTATGTAGGTTGTGGTCAAGGGTCAGTTATTGACTTCAGAAGTTTCCCTTCTTTGTGTGCTACGAGACCACTGTTGTCTTCAATGAACCCTGAAGCTTGGAGACCATACAGGTTGGCACTTATCCTTCATGGCCCCAGCATCTGAGTCTGTAGATAGCTCTCAACTGTGTCAGAATGGAGTAGCAAAGAGATCACTGAGATCTCCAATGGAGTGGGAGAATAATGGAAACCTAGATCTCTGTCTGCTGGTCTCAGCACTTAAGTTGTCTAGCAGTTAACATCCGTGTGGGAGGGTTGAGGCTGAGGAAATTTCAGTGATTTAAAAGGCTGGCTCATCAGCTCCTTCCACTTCTGCTTCCACAGAACCCTCACGGCTTCCCTATCCCCAAATAGATCCCTGCAGTACCAGACCTCCCAGGTGGACAGACTTGGGACAGCAAAAAGCCATAGTTCCCTCCAGTCCTGTACTTAGTTTGTGTACAAATGTTCATTGTGTACATACAATGAGCGCTTGTAATGTATTAAAGGCTACGTATGATTGTTTCTGTTAGCCTAGGTTAGACCCAACCAGAAAAACCACATGGACATCCAGGTAGGAAGAACAAAGGAAAGGTTTATTGCCAGTAAGGGGACCTGCAAGACCCCATCTCACCAGGTGAGAGGAAGTAAGAAGTGCCAGCTATCTATCATCTCAGGTGACCTGTATGACCTCGGGGATGTGGGGGATCTTGCTGCCTTATATGGTCGTAGATATCCCAACAGGGTGCTCTCTCAGGAAAAGGAGGTAGGGGTTAATCATTTACTGCCTTTACTACAGGGGCCTAGTGTAGCCTAGGGAAAGAGCATGTTCAGCCACCAGGGAGGAGGCCTCTGGGCTAACAGTTTCAATGCAAATGATTTTATATCATTTCTTGTTACCATGTTAAGTGATGTTCTTATTTTTCTGGGTCTTGGGGCCTGAACTATGGGCCTTGGTGGGGTCCTTCAGCTCTTCAGCTCAAAGCTAGTGCTCTACCACTTGAGCCACAGTACCACTTCTGATTTTTCTGGTGGTTAATTGGAGATGAGGGTCTCAGGGACTTTCCTGCCCCTGGCTTTAAACAGGGACCCTCAAATCTCAGACTCCTGAGTAGCTAGGATTACAGCTTCTTATCTCTATTGTATCTTGTGACCCTAGACCCTCATCACTTGCCACTATGCAACTTCCACATCACATGATCCGTATCACGTGACCTTTATCACAATATATACTATCACATGGCTCCATACATAAGATTTCACGTGACCTGGATCACAAGACCACAAACACATGACCAAATCACCTGACCCCAAGCACATGATGCCAAACGGCAGGTGATCCAGTATCACGTGACCCACAACCACGTGACTCCGGGTCACGTCTCCGCATCATGTGACCCCCCAAAATGCCACATGACCCAAAGATCACATCATATGACCTATCTCACCATACCACCCCTGACCACGATCCCCATGTCATGTGGCCCCAAAGTGACTTGATCAGGTTACCCCACCACATGACAGTGATCTAGATCATGTGACCACATACATGACCCAAACACAGGAGCCGTGTCACGTGACCCTGCCACATATTTCCCACAGGATCCTCCATCACATGACCTCCTTGTCATATGACTCCTGTCATGTGGTCCCTCATCCCTTGTGCTACTGGCACCAGGTGTTGTCAATTTGTTTTTGTTGTTTTGTCGTTGTGGGGCTTGAATGTTTGGCCTGGTCACTGTTCCTGAGTCTCTTTGTGCTCAAGGTAGTGCTTTACCACCACTTGAGCCATAGCGCCGGCTCATGGGGACTTTTCTGCCCGGGCTGGCTTTGAACCGCGATCCTCAGATCTCAGCCTCCTGAGTAGCTAAGATGGATCAGGCGTGAGCCACCATCGCCTGCCTTATAAAAAGTGTTTTAACACAGAATCCTACAGAGTGTACAATGACTTCAATGAAAAAGTATAAAGAAGTGCATGCCTGTTTACCCAAACTGGGAGCTCTGATAATGACTTAGGGATGGGGAAAGGTCTGGTGTGTAGTAGGTATCTGAGGAAACAGGATTGAGTAGGTAAACTGGCTGGCTTGGTTGTCATCAGATTCACTAACTGAATCCAAGAAAGGACAGCAATGCCTCTTCTCTCACTTCCTTTGGGACGGGTGTCAGAAGTCCAAGGGCAGCAATAGAGCAACATCTGCGCTCTCCTCAGTAGGGTTCAAAGTCTGGTTAGGCCCCGCCCCCGTGCGCTGGGTTCCGCCCCAAACGGCTCAGCCTCAGCTTGACTCATGAATATGCAAATATACTGAGGATATTTAAAGACGCCGGCGCGGCGCGCAATTCCCTGCCCACGCCGCCGGTCCAGTGCTCCGTCTCAGGCTCGGCCCCTTTCTCTCCTGTACAGCACTGTGTGCGGAAGCGCCGCCGGCATGTCTGAAAAACTGCCCTACAAAGTCGGTGAGTTCCAGGACCTGCATCCTGACGCCGCTACTCGCCGCCGGCCAGGCTTGTCTCTGAAGGCGGCCGCCCAGAATCCCTAGAATCACAGGCTCGGCGTGTTCCTGCCCGCGCGGGTTTGCGTGGGGATTGTAGTCCTCGCGCTTCGGCCAGTGCCTCCGAGGAGGCCGCGGCGGACTACAGGTCCCAAGATGCCGTGCGGCGCGCGCCCTTTGTCGTTGCGCGGGCTATCAGTCTAGGTCTAGTTGGGAGTCCCTCAAAGAGGCGGCAGGGGCGAGTAGGGGAAGCACAGTCTGCCACTCTCTGAACCGCGCAACCAGCCCTGGGCACCCGAGCTTGCCACCTGGTCAGCTGGGTGATCCTAGGCCTCCTGCAGGGCGGGGCAGGGCACTGGCTCTGCGAGCACTAGGGAGGAGAGGCCTGGAAGCTAGCGGGCGGGACTGGACCGCGTGCACCGGAGATTTTGGGCTGGTTTCTCTGTAGGTGGTGTTATCCACCTGGCCAAAGGGGATAGTTGGGCCGACAAACCCAAGAAAATTTGGAGTTTGAAAAACAAATCCTGTTATCATGACAGTGAAAGTTCATTGAACATTTACTGTGGCATGAGCACACCTGAGCCTAGATTAACACATTTATCGAGAGAGGCAGAGATCATTTGCCCAAATCCTTAGAGCTAGGAAATGGTGGAGCAGGATTTAAACTCTGGGCATCTAGACTTCCGAGTGGGCTAAAAAACCCAATGCAAGTGAACACACTTGGAACAATCCTAATGTAATTTCAGCAAAAAACAGTTTGGGTCCGGTCTGATAATCGCAACACTGTGGAGGCTGAAGCGAGAGGATTGCTTTTGAGGCCAATCTGGGCTACACAGTGAGACCCTACTGAAAACAACAGCCAATTTAGGCTGGCTAAAATTTAGCTGTTGAAATAAACTCAAGACACCATTAAACAGAAAGAGATATCAACACTTATTGAGCATTTGCTGTGTAGATGATGATTGTGTTAATGCAGTTATCTCCCATTAGAAGAAAAAAACTTGAACAAGTGACTTGTAGATTCTGTTAAAATAGTAGGTTATGAAGTAGCCACCAGAGTAGATCATTGTCTTCAGGTGATGTTGAAGCCCATAAAGGTTAAGTCAAGGTGGCATCTGTAGAAGAGCTAGAATAAGAATTTACACTGGAGAGATTGAGGGAAGTGGGTGGGAGAAACAGCCAGATTTGGAGTAGGAATCTTGGTGATGAAAGGATCAGCTCAGGACATTTTCATCAGGGAGGGAATGCTGTGTGCCACACTTTGCCCATTTGGCTTCTTCTGTAATCCTGGGAACCACAGCAAGATTACGAATAGTTAGCCTCACTCTACAGACAAGAAACTAAGGTCTTGAGAGGGTCTTGCTTCTTCTTGACAGGTGTTCCTATCACTTCTGAAGCTGTCAGCTTTCCAGGGTACCAAAAGGTCCAGAACTTGGAGCACCAGCAACTCTTATACATTGAAAGTTGAGGCTTCCATGGAGAACTTTGGGACTGGCACAGCTGCCATGATGGAATTTACTTTTAGCTGGAGAGACAGGTGGTAGTGGAGTGGTGGGAGCTTAGGATATCACGGAACCCATTGTCCCTTATAGGAAGGCCTTGAAAGGGTCCCTTCTCTAGCCCTTGGAGGTTTTGCCTCTTCTACTGCCAGGCTATGGAACCTGGGCAAACCCCTTTTGGGGCTCTTTCCTGTTGACAAATAATGTGATTTCAGTGAAGTTTGGATTTTTTTTTTTTTTTTTTTTGGTCACCCTTGTCCCATGTCTGCCCTTTTCATGAATCTTTTCTCATGTAGTTGTAACAACCGATGTGGTCAATAAACATTTGCTGACCTCTTTTGCTGCGTCAGGCCCTATTGGACACTGGAGATAGAAAGGTGACCCAAGGAGAAGCTTGAGATAGACATGCATGCAGATAATGTAATATTGTCTCCATTTTTTTTTTTTCCTTTGTCGGTCATGGGGCCTGAACTCTGGTCCTGGGTGCTGTCCCTCAGCTCTTCAGCTCAAGGCTAGCGCTCTACCACTTGAGCCATAGTGCCACTTCCGCCTTTTTCTGCTTATGTGGTGCTGAGGAATCAAACTGAGGGCCTCATGCATGCAAGGCAAGCACTCTACCACTGAGCCACCTTCCCAGCCCTTATTATCTCCATTTTATGTGAGGAGATCTGCCATTTTCCTTCATGCAGCCATTGCAATTTTAGTCTCCTTCCTTTCCCTCTTCACAGGTCTCTTGCTTCACAAATCTGTTCAGCTGCCAGTGGGTTTTGTTCATTTTTTTTTGCGATAGATTTTCACTATGTAGCCTAGGATGTCCTTGAACTCAAGATCCTTCTGCCTTAGATTTATAGCATGTACCACTACTTGGCTAATGGAATTTTTTTCAGAGAAAAATCGAATCTTCAGATGATACCCCTTTTAAAACTAGAGGAACCCTACCCTTCTTGGGAGAAAAATTCTGTCTGAATCAACCTTGCATCTTCTGTTTCTTCAACAGAGATACATTCCGTTTGTTTTCATTCTGTGTGTGTGTGTACTTAATTTTGTTTAGTCTTGGGGTTTGTTTTTATTTATTTATTTTTTGGGTCCGGACGTGGGGCCTGAACTCTGGGCCTGGGCGCTGTCCCTCAGCTCTTCAGCTCAAGGCTAGTGCTTTACCACTTGAGCCACAGCGCCACTCCGGCTTTTTTCTTTTTGCTTATGTGGTGCTGAGGAATCGAACCCAGGGCCTCAGGCATGCAAGGCAAGCGCTCTACCACTGAGCCATCTTCCCAGCCCCTAGTCTTGGGGTTTGATCTCAGGGCCTGGACATTATCCTTGAGCTTTTATGCTCATGGCTAATGCTCTACCACTTGAGCCACAGCTCCACTGTTAGGTTTTTGGGGGGGCTAATTGGAGATATGAGTCTCATGAACTTTCCAGCTTGGGCTGGCTTTGAACAGTGATCCTCAGATCTCAGCCTCCTGAGTTGCCTGGATTACAGGTGTGAGCTCCTGGTGCCTGGCTTGAATTAACTTTTTATATGGTGTGAGCTTATAAAGCCTGTCCATTTGAGATAATTTTGATCTTTTTTTTTTTTGATCCGGTTGTTGGGCCTGAACTCTAGGCCTCTTCAGCTCAAGGCTAGCGCTTTACCACTTGAGCCACAGCGCCACTTCCGGCTTTTTTTTCTTTTTGCTTATGTGGTGCTGGGTAATCGAACCCAGGGCCTCAGGCATGCAAGGCAAGTGCTCTACCACTGAGCCACTTTCCCACCCCCTTAATTGTCTTGAGGAGCTTTCCAGGCTTGTATTAAAGCCCTGGAGTGAGAATTACTTTATCTTGTCTAAAGACAAGATATGGTTGATACATACCTCCTAAGAGGGGAAGAAGACCAGTGGAGGTGGTATGACACTCTTGTGAAGGCTTTCCCTTCCCTCTTGGCTGTTGTCCGAACATGGTATTTGGTAACAGGAGGAACACAAAGGCTGCTTCAGTGGTCCACTTGAGAAATGTCAGTTTAGATGGGACTGGTAAATTGTGTTGGATTGCTTTTGTATTTAGGATGGTCAACTAAAAACATGCTGAAGAAGATGAAACTGGAAATGAGAAATCAAGGAATTGCACAAGTTTTTGGCAGAGTAGCTGGTGAATGGTGGTTTCATTTCCTAAAATGGAGAGATTGACTCTGTGGCCCAGGAGTCATGAGAGCTCACACTTGATATTTAATAGATTGAGTTGCACATCCATGTACAGATGCTGGGCCTGCAGTTGGATTATGGAAATAAATGTGTGGGCGTCATCACCATAGAAAAGGTATTTAATGCTGGAAGAATGGATTAACTTATTTGGCAAGAGTTGGAGAAGAGAGAGATGGAGCCCTGAGGGCTTCCAGCTGTTAGAGCCAGTTGGATGTAGAGGAGTCAGGAAGTAGGAGGAAAACAGGACTAAGTCTGAAGCCAAGTAAAGTTTCAGGAGAGAGGGAGTAATTGGTGGGGTAGCTGCTGCCGGGAGAAGCATGAACTTTAGTAACTGGCAGTCAGCTATGGGGTGTCAGACTTGGACAGCTTGAGGAGAGCACTTTCAGTGGAGTAGTAAGACCGTAAAGGAGGTCGGGGGATTAAAGCTGAGGGAAACCGTGCAGGGAAGAAGAGTGGCATGGTTCTTAATCTGAATGCTTTGTGAAGCAGGCTTGTCAGTTGCTGAAAAGGTGTTGGAGGTTTGGGGAAAATGGGGGAGCAAAGTATGAGGAGAATATTATAGGAAGGATTATATGAACGTGCTTGTGTGTCTTGTGAGATTTAAGGGCAAGTAAACTACACCACTCAGTGTGGTTGTAATCCTCCTGTGAGGTCCATTTATGTGCAGTAGAACAGTTGGTGTTTAACTAGGGTGGGAGCTGTGCCAAGTCTGCTCAGAGGGACGGAACAGAGGGCAGAGGTGGTGGGCAGAGACTATGGAAGTGAGTGTGGTGAGGGGCAGTAGAAGATTAACGGTGAGAAATTCTGGCTTGACTGGCTGTAGCCTATTGGCTTTGGGGTTCTGCAGGCAGAAAGCTGGGAAGATGAGACGTGGTTGGAGTAGATTGCTTGAAATCCAGCTTTTCCAGGGAGAGCTATCATGGCTGATGGGCTACCAGGAAATCAGAGTATGGGTGGTAGGAAGAAATAGCTGTGCTGAGATGCAGCAGGAGTAGAATATTTCACCATTGAAACTGTTCATTTGTTTTGGTGCTAGAGATAGAACCTAGGGCCTTGCTTGTCCCTACCATTGATTATTCCCTACTCTCCAAAATTATTTACATGCACTGTAGCAAGCATACTGGCTTAGTTTTATTAGCAATGGTTATATTAAATTTTCTACATAGTCCTTTCTCTCTTTCATTCTCACCCTACTTATACCTCTTTGGTTGATGGGCAGAATCTAAGCTTTTCCTCTCAAATTCGTTCTATCTCCTCTGGGGCAGAGTGGCCACTTAGGAGTTCCATTTGCATGAAAAGGAATGTGGGGAAGAAGGATGTCCAAAACATTAAGGAGATCAAGAACTGTGTCAAGTCCAAGCTGTTGAATTGTATTTATGAGTATTGAATCACTAAGAGTGACTACTTGGAAAGGAAAATAGAAGCCAGGATCTCGGATCACTAGGGTCTGAGGAATGACCTGGAGGTTGATAGGCAGGTATCAGAGGAAGAAAGGGGGAGTGGGAAGAATATGTTAGCTAGTTTACAGAGTCATTTGTCTTTGATTTTCGTATATTTGCATAATCTTTGATTAAATTTGTTTTCCCTAAGATGGTAAGCTAAAGTTGGGCAGGAACCAGGTCATGTCTTCTGTGTGTGTTTGTGTGTCTGTGTGTGCGCGTGCGTGCCTGCACACATGCATGTGTGCTAGTCCTGGGGCTTGAACTCAGGGCCTGGGTGCTATCCCTTAGCTTTGTTTTTGCTCAAGGCTAGAGTTCTATCACTTGAGCCATAGCTCCATTTCTGGCTTTTGGTAGTTAATTGGAGGTAATAGTCTCATGGACTTTCTTGCCTGAGCTGGCTTTGAACTATGGTCCTCAGATCTGAGCCTTCTGAGTAACTATGATTATAGGCATGAGTAGGTCTTTCTTTTTAGACTGTCTTAGTTCCCTACATGCTTATTGAATCAGAGAATGACAAGTTGTCATACTCAAGAGTTATATGTCCGGGGCTGGGAAGGTGGCTCAGTGGTAGAGCACTTGCCTTGCATGCCTGAGGCCCTGGGTTCGATTCCTCAGCACCACATAAGCAAAAGGAAAAAAGCCGGAAGTGGTGCTGTGGCTCAAATGGTAGAGCGCTAACCTTGAGCTAAAGAGCTGAAGGACAGCGCCCAGGCCCAGAGGTCAGGCCCCATGACTGGACCCCAAAGAAAAAAAATAGAGTTATATGTCCATATGTGAATCAGGTCCTTAGTGACTGGTGCTTCATGGTTGGTGGAAGGAGGTGGCTCATAAGACTCTAATTCATCTTGCCCCTGCAGCGGACATCAGCCTGGCTGCCTGGGGACGCAAGGCCCTGGACATTGCAGAGAACGAGATGCCGGGCCTGATGCGCATGCGAGAGATGTACTCTGCCTCCAAGCCGCTGAAGGGTGCTCGGATTGCTGGCTGTCTGCACATGACTGTGGAGACAGCAGTCCTCATTGAGACTCTTGTCGCCCTGGGTGCTGAGGTGAGGCCTGTAGCTGCCTGGGCTCCGCTAGGGAAGAAGACTGGAGGGGTGGGAACACCTGTGGCCAACAGGGGCTCGTCTCCTTGTCACTTGGGTCTTCTCTCTCCATCTGCAAGTGTTGCTATCCTTTGTGGTGAGTGTTCCACAGATTTTCTCCTAGACTGCACTCAATATGTCCTCTTGACTGAGAGTTCTACCTGGAAAAATTCAACCCCCGTGTCCCATTTAGTCATCCCCCCATTTAGTCATCTAAGAACTGGTTTTTACTGGTCCTCCTAGGAGCATGTACTTCTCCTCAACTAATTATAGTTGACAGACGTATGGACTGTTCAGATGGCTTTAGCCTGAATCATGTCTATCAAGATCTCTTACTGAGGGGCAGGGCAGGGCATGGCAGCAAAGTCAACAGAGCACTCCAGGGCTCATACCTCTTTATTTTCAACATACATTCTCTGTCTAGGAGAGAACACACGGTAGCCCTTTTTGCTCCTTTTTTTTTTTGTCAGTTGTGGGGCTTGAACTCTGGGCCTGGGCGCTGTCCCTCAGCTCTTCAGCTCAAGGCGAGCGCTCTACCCCTTGAGCTACAGCGCCACTTCCGGTTTTCTGGTGGTTTATTGGAGATAGGAGTCTCATGGTCTTTCCTGCCCGGGCTGGCTTTGAACCGCGATCCTCAGATCTCAGCCTCCTGAGTAGCTAGGATTACAGGCGT